CCCCAAAACCCCAAAACCCCAAAACCCCAAACCGAGAGAAAATAATTAAGATATTAAGAATGAATATTTTAGTCAAATAGATTTGAATTTGGCTTTCAAGAGTTTTGGATAATTTTTAAGGTGATAAACTGATTTTAGAGCAGTTTATGAGGATTTTGAGGGTATGAAGGTCACTTTGGAGTGCTTTTTGGTGTTTTTAGGGTTTAGTTTTGGGGGGTTTAGGGATATTAGGATTGTTGGATTTTTGTAGGAAGTTGTTTGAAAAGATGGGTTAGAAGGATTATCGCCAGATCCTCTTTTGATATAATCAGAGGTTGGAATAGGATTTTCAGGATGCTTTGGTATAACTAAAGTAGTATTCAAAAATTTTGATGAATTTTTAGTTTTTGCAAAAATTTGAGACTTAGGAAGATACTTAGGCTTTCTAACTCTTCTAACCCTTTCCAAAATCTCCGGCACAGAACCATCCATAATCTTCGGCTTCATATTCGCATACACCATCGATACATCCCTAAAAGAACTCTGCTTAACCATCCTTTCCAATTCCTAAAGAATCACACCTCATCCTACATCATTCCTATCCTCCTCACTCTTCTCAAAACTACACCTATCCTTCCTATCTTCCTTCTCTAAAAATCACCCACTACCTCACCACAACCCCTCCTGAACATCTTCACTTTCTTCACAAATTGTTCTATCACTATGCCTAAAATCCCAGTCAAAAAATTCAAAAATTTCAAATTTCTCAAAATCCTTAAGAATCTTGGGATGAATTACCTTTTTCTTTCTGCTGGTAGACTCTAGAGGGTGATTTTGGGAAGAAATTTTAGGGGTTTAATAGAAGTTAGATTGGGAAGTTAATTTTGGGTTGTTAGTGGAGTTTTACTTGTGAAGGACTTGGTGTCTTTGGGATTCATGCAGGAGGGTTTTGGGAATGGGTTCTTTGAATGGAGCGGTTTTGGGAGTGAAGGGGTGGGGTGCTAGGATGGTTGGGGAGGAAGGTACCTTTGGGAGGGGATTTGGAGAGGGGGTTTAGGGGGGTTGCGTGGAGATGCTCTAGGGAGTGAGGATGGGTGTTTTTACTGCGACTTTGGGTGTTACGAGTTGGGATCAGGCTTTTTCGTTTATTTTTACGTTTTCTTTTTGAGCTTTTGTATATTATAAATATTGCTTACCTGCTAGTTCTGTTTGGGCTTAAAAGATCTGAAAAAGGCTTTTTGAAAACCTCTATGTCTTTATTTGCCTATTTTTACTAACAACAATAAAATACCCTTAATCAATTTAAATATGACTTCAGAATTATTTCTCTTCTTCCACACCCTCCTACTCCGCTTCTCTCATTTCTTACCAACATTCCACTTCCTAAACCATCTCCTACCCTAAACCTACTCTCCAATATCTCCAATTCCGAACCCTCCTGGTCCTTTCCTGCCTTCCTTCCTCTTCCTCCTCCCCTGTTCTACCAGCCGCCCTTTAGTCCCTGTAAAGGTCCTGGGGAGGCCTCTAGGCCTGATTTTGGAATTCTGTATGGTAATAGAGGGATTACTGGTGGGGATTTGAGGTGATCTAGAGGGGTTAGGAAGAAAGAAGGGGTTTTGGGGTTACTGAGGGGTGGGGAGGGGTGGGTTGTGGTAGCTGATGCCGGTGATTTTAGCGTTGGACATGCTTTGGGGTTTAGGATTTTTGACTTTAAGGGGTTTATAGGGGCTTAGAGGTTTGGAATTTTGGGGGCTTTTGGAAAATGGGGATTGTGAGCTTTGTCGAGAAGCTGATAGGATTTGAGAGTTTTCGAGGTTAGATTGGGATTTTAGCATGCATGATGTAAGTGGTATACGAAGGTTCATCTTTATATTTAGGCCTAAAGTTAAGCTTACTTGATCGATCTTTTTCTCTTGCCAAGAAATTTTATTCAATTTTATAATCTAAATACGGGGTTTTGGGGTTTTGGGGTTTTGGGGG